GAATATAAAATTTAGGTTAAAGTAATGTTAATTTCCGGCAGTAGATTGCAAAACCCTTGAGGCCCCTTTCTGTTGATTTAGTTTTTTCCCCTGGTGTTCGAAAAAATTTTGCAAACGTTTATTTTTAAAAAGAAAAGGGTTTAAAATAATTTGGGTTTTATCTCTCCTCCAAACCAAAAAGATAGTCTGCAAAATGTTTAAAACTATTTTTTTTTTCCCCCCGAAAATTGGCGAAAAAATAGTCCTCTTTGGGGAAAAATTTCCTTCCCTTTAAACTGTAAACCCTTTTTTTTGTAGAATTTTTATCTTCCTTTTTCCGCATCAGAGTCAGAAAATAACACATTCAGCAGTTTTGGGGTATATACGGGTGATTTAAAAATAGTGTGTGGGAAGAAAAAATCGATAATTTTTTTTTATGAAGGGGGAAAAATTTTTAAAAGATGTTTTGCTACAGTTCAAAAACGTTAAAAAATTTTCTTTTCTTGCCTTCTTTTTGATTCTAACTTAATTTGGGTTTGATTTTTGGCATTTTTCCCAAAAAATTCGAAAATTGGCCAAGGGGGTTTTCTCAAATCGCTTTGAAATTGAAATCGAGTTAAAAATCTATCTCGGTTTCCTAAAATTTTTTTGAGCAATAAACCCTGAAAAACGTCAGGATTGTTTTTGGGTTTTTCATTTAGAGGATGGCCGGGGCAGAAGTTTGAGGAGGCCTTAAAAAAATTTTTTTATCCGTTTTAAAAATTCGAAAAGACCTCAAAAAAACCATAAAAAAAAACGGGGGCCAAGTTTTAAAAATCGGTTTAATAAAATTTTTTAAAGGGCCCCAAATCTAAAAAATCCTGTCGAGTCATCTCTTTTAAAGATCCCTAAAAACTTACCCGGGGGAAAGTTTCGGGGGTATTGCCCCAAAAAATGTAGGAGGAGATAGATTTTTAGACTCGTTTTTTCAGGGCCGCGATAAAAAATCGCTCGTCCCAATCAAAAAACCACAACGCGCTGCCTTTGCCCGGTTTTTAATTTCGGCTTGCTCTAGGAACCGATTTTTTTTTTTTCCAGGGGATCAAAAGAATCGATAGTTTTTGTATATTACCCCCCTCTATCAGAAATTTACAAAAAAAGTCGATTTTGAAAAACTTTCCACCCCCCCCCCCCCCCCCCCCCCCCCAACCCCCCCCCCCCCCCCCCCCCCCCCCCCCCCCCCCCCCCCCCCCCCCCCCCCCCCCCCCCCCCCCCCCCCCCACCCCCCCCCCCCCCCCCCCCCCCCCCCCCCCCCCCCCCCCCCCCCCCCCCCCCCCCCCCCCCCCCCCCCCCCCCCCCCCCCCCCCCCCCCCCCCCCCCCCCCCCCCCCCCCCCCCCCCCCCCCCCCCCCCCCTCCCCCTTTTAATCAGGTAAAAGTCGGCTAAGAAAATTGCCCTAAACGAAAAATAAAACATGTCCTAGCAAATTTAAAGGGCCCGAGGGGTTGACCCAAATTTTTTTATTTTAAAGGATTTTTTTTATGTTTGTATATTTTAAAAGCCAAAGAAGGGAATTTTTTAAAATTTTTAGAAAGTAGCTTTTGATTGTTGCATTATTGCTTGGGGCGCCTAATGAGTTTTGACAAATTTTTTTAAAATTTTAATTTAGGAAAATTTTGGGCCCACAATCGTGTTTAATCTCAAAAATAATCTCACAATGGGGGGTCTGTCTGTCTGTCTTTTAGGTCTGTCTGTCTGTCTGTTGTCGTCTGTCGTCGGTTGTCTGTCGGTCTTTTGGGTTGTGGTTGTCTCTGTCTGTCTTTTTCTGTCTGTTTTGCTGTCTGATGTCTGTCTGTCTGTTGTCTGTCTGTCTGTTTTGCGGTCTGTTTTGTATGTCTGTATGTCTGTCTGTCGGTCTGTTGTCTGCCCTGTCTGTCGTCTGTCTGTCTTTTTCTGTCTGTTTGTCTGTCTGTCGGTTTTGTCTGTCGGGCGTCTGTCTGTCTGTCTGTCTGTCTGTCTGTCTTCGGGTCTGTCTGTCTGTTGTCTGTTTTGTCTGTCTGTCTGTTGTCTTATGTCTGTCTGTCTGTGCGCGTTTCTTTTTCCCGAGCGGCTTAAATCAAGAAAACGGTTAGGTTTTTGGGTGGGGATTTTTGGGGTTTTTTAAACCGTTACTTCAGCTTTTTTTAAAGTTTCGAAAAAACTTGACAAACCCAATAACCCAATTTTTTTTAATGGGCCGGTGGTAAGGGGTTTTAATTTTTTGGTTTTGAAACCCCCAAATGTGGCATTAAAATGGATCACGTTTTCCCCTCCTCCCCTTCTTTCCCATTGGCATTATGCTTATTATTTTGCTTTGGGTTTTCTTAAATCTTTTTTAGGTTTAAAATAACCGAAAGATGGGCTTTTTTTATGTAATATATAAGTAAAAAGTTTAAATTGGGGGTTTACATTTCATGGCGGTTTTTTGGGAAACTTTGGCCCTCAGTCGGAGGGGTTTACTTTCATACGTAATGTAATGTGTACTTTTTCAAATATAATAGGCGGGTTTCCGTTTAAATTTTTTCTTTTGTTTTAAAAACGGCTTTATAGTGGGGGGCCCGTGGCGTAGGCACGGGTTACATATTATTTTTAGTATTACAGAATTGATGAGCTTAGAGCCTATAATCCCTTTATCGGATATTTTGCCCGGACTTTAAAATGAACGGCCCCATGATTTTTGACCCAACGGCTTTAAAATTTAACGATCGAAGGCATTCAAAAACCATAAAAAAATAAAAAATGTGTATTTTTTTTTTTGGGCTTTTTTTTAAATTTTTTAGCAGATAAGCTAGATACTTAGAAAATTAAATTATTAATAAAAAGAGCAAAAAAGGGCAGTCTTTTAAAGCAGTAAAAATGTCAAAATATCTGTAGTTCTTCTTCTTTAAATTTTTTTTAAAAAAAAGGGTTTTGAAAAAAAACAACAGATACGATTATGCCCAAACAAATGCAGATTTGTTTTTTCCAAAATACGGGTTTTCATCTTCCTCAAATTGAAATGGGTTATCGTGAAATTAAAAATACCCAGGGTTTTAACTTAAAGCTTTATCGAAATTACCTGTTTTTTTTAAAAAAAAATTTTTTTTTGGGCCCACCTCCGCCTGGGCCCCTCCCATTTCGGAAAACTTTTACACGAGTGGAGGTAATAAAAAATTGTTTAAAAAATCGTTTTTTTTGGGATCAAATGATTTTAGTTTTTTTTTTCCCGAAAAATCCGAATCCGTTTTTTTAAAATACGATTGAGGGAAAAAAAAAAGTTGTCTTATTTTAAAAAAAATGAGTTCGCGGGTGGAAAAATTTTTGGGAAAAATTTTCTTAACGGATTTTAAAATTTAAACCCGGAAAAAGGGGCCCTTTTTTGAAGGGAAATTTATTTGAAGGGAAACTTTTGGGATGAACGCTAGGACCCCCAAGCGTTAAATTTAATGTGTTAAAAAAGGCCCGTTTAAGGAAAAGTATGAACTACTAGTACCCCCTTTTTCTTGTCTCAAAAAAAATTGCTAAAAACCCGGACGACATTTTTTAGCTAAAAGTGGGGTTTCCGCCCCGTTTAGATGAACTTGAAGTAAATTTTCCCAATAATAATGAAAAAATTTGAAAAACCTTATCTGAAATTCAAAAAAATTTGAGTTTAGATTAAAAAAAGCGAAAACTTTTTTTACAATTCCTAAAAAATTTAATTTGTAAAATTTGGGGGTTGCAAAATCTTGATAATGAAAAATTATTTTTTTATTTTTGGAATAAAAGGGTAAGAATATGTGGTTGTGCCAATTTGGGCAAAGATTTCGGGCTGGGGAATGTAAAAGCATTTTTAACAGTGAACTTCATTTGGGGGGGATCAAAAAAATTAGTTGGTCATTTTTTGCCCCATTTGCACATTAACCTGCTTTTTATAGTTGTATAGTATTTAAAGGGGGGACAATTTTTTGACCCCTCTCGGGGTTTTTTAAGAACCAAAACAGATTTAACCCCCCCCCATTTGTATTATTTTTAAAGTTAAAATATCTAGCTTTGGCGGGGGCCCCTTGGGGCGGGGAAAAATAACTGCGGGGCCCAAATTTAGGTACCCCCAACAAAAAAATATACCTTTTCGGCCCTTTTTTTGGCGGACATTAAATAAACGGAAAAATTTATGAATGGCCCATTAATATAAAACGCTGAAGTAAAAGGGCTTAAAAAACCTAAAAATTCCTTTTATTTTTTTTTTGCAAATGATTTTTTTAAAAAAAAGCAGCTTTTAAGCAGTAAAAATGTTAAAATATGTTTTCATGTCAGTGTTAATAAAAATAACCCCCTTAGCTTCAACAAAGGGGTTTTTCGTGCTGAACAGTCCATGTTTAAAAAAGCATCAGTAAATTTTTAGCTTTTTTTTAAACAAAACCATTTCCTGCTTTTTCAGTGTTAACTTTTAAAAGCCATTCGGCGTGAAAGGGGTTTTTCTTAGAAAACCTTTGGGTTTTAACCTTAACATCAGGGGAAAGTTTTCCTTGCACGTTTTTTTACCCCCCCGAGTAATTTGAACAACAACGTCGGAAAAATGTCCTTGGAAAAACACGATTTACCGTAATATTAGGGGCTGGAAAAGTTTTTTGGGCAAAATGAATGTTTTCACTGTGAAATTTAAAAAATAAAAAAACTGAAGCGGATAGGATGGGCGCAAAGGGGACAAAATCCCTGAAAAAAAAATAAACAAAAAATTTAGGGACAGGAATTGCCTCGCCCATTTTCATGCTTTCATTTGAAATTGTGTGTGGGTGTGCAAAAACCCAAAAATTTGGAAAGGCTTTGCATGGGGGCCCTCAGAAAAGGCAAAGGACGGGAAAACTTTTGTTTTTTAAAGTTATCGAGTTTGTTTATTTTTTAAAAAAACTTTTGAAAACTTTTAAAAATAAAAAAAGTTCTTAAAACCCCAATTTGTAAATAAAAAGGGGTTTATCAATTTTGTTTCTCAAGTTTTTGGGGGGGCAGTTTAAATTGAAAATTTTTTTAGAGCTTTATTTTCCTTTGTAAGCTTTGTTATAATAATGACAAAAACAATGCTTTTTTTTCAAACCCGATTCTTTAATCAAGAAAAAAAACCACAACTGTTTCTTTTAAATTTAAACATCAAATATCATTCCCTTTGCTGGTACTTTGAAATTTGTACAGAAAATAATATAAAATACGCGTTTTAAAAAAATGAAACCCCGTCGGGGTTTTTAAACCCCTAGAAAAAATAACATTAACATTGCCTTTTCCCCTTTTTCTATAGCCCGACATTCTTTAAGATAAAAATCAAGAAAAAGAAGTTTTTTTGGATTTTTACATTTCACTGGGGTAAAAATTTTTGAAAAGAAAATTTTAAAAACCCCCAAAAAAACAAAAAATTTTTTTTCCCCTTTTTAAAAATTTTAAAACCCAGAGTGAAAAAATGTAAAACCTGATTTTAGGAAAAAACCGGGGATTTCAAAAAAAATTTCAAAAATTTTTTTTCCTTTTAACATTAAAAGAAAATTGTACATAAAAGATGTACCAGCAAAAAAAATTTAAAAAAAAAGGGTTAAAACGTTCTCAAGTTCAAAAAAACCCCTTGGTTAAAAATCGATTAAAGCAGAATTGTAGATTAGCGGAGAAAAAAACCGTCCTTTTTTTTATAGATCTAGTTTTTAAAGGTACGCTTTTTATAAAAAATATTTACCACTCCCAAACCCCTTTATTTCATCCCAAACGACTATTTAAACCGATTTAACCGGTCTAAAGGTTTTGGGGCTGCTAAACCCGGAAAAAAAACGGGTTGGGATACAATATATTTTTCATTTTTCCCCTGTTTGTAGACCAGAACCGAGGGGCAAAAAGGGAAAATTTTAAAATTTTTTTTACTGAAAGGTTATGAAATTTCAAACCCGGGGGTTTTGTAGATGTCAAAAAAATTGTTTTATCTCCCTTTGAACCCCCCTTTGAACAAGTTGATCCTTTGAGGGGGGCCCCGAAAATAGCCTTTGGGTTTCACAACCCAAAAAATTATTTGTCAAAAATAGATTTAGCGCCCTGGACTTAGTTCGACCTTTCCCAAAGTTCGACAGGGGTGATATCGGGCCCCAAAATTTAAAGTTGTAAACCCTATAGTGCGGTTGAACTAAAAGTACGTAAAATGATAATCAAATAAAAAAATTGGGGGCCCATAAAAAGTTAAAAGTCGGCTGTTCGTTTATCACAAACCCCTAACCCCAAAACCCAAGCTTTGGGCCCCCTTATCTTTTCATAATTGCTGTAAAAAAACAATTTTTAAAACCCCAAAAAGGAAAAATGGGCCTTTGTCTTTTTAAAAACTCAAAAATTTCCCTTTTAACCCCCAAATTAAACCAAAAGAAAAACTTTATAGCCCCTTTTTAAATGATTGAAACAAATTTTCCCGTTTTTCTTCTTTTTTAAACATTACAAGGAGGGGCCTTTGGGTTTTTTAAAAAACGTGTTTTTATCCTTTGTTGTTTAAACGTGTTGTACCCAGTGTTGTATCACGTGTTGTATTTGGGTTGATCGGGACGAACTGTGGGCCCGGGGGTTTGATTTTCATATCTGGGAAAAAGGGTTCATTAGTTTCGAATGATTTTTTAGCTGAAACTAATATTCAGAGGTTCGCAAAAAGTTTCGTTTTGGGGTTTAAAAAAATGTCCAGTTTTCATTTAATTTACTCGGATTTACTTGGATGAGATATTGCTTTGATATTTAGCCTCAGCTTATGGTTTTAAGTAAATACATTTCTTTAAATTCGGTATGCCCATTGCCGGGGGGCTGAAAAGGAGGGCGAGGTTTATTTTTTTTTGGACTTCTGGGAATTTTTTCACATCGTTTTCAGGGGAAATTTTTATTACTCGTTTTTATTTAAAAAAAAAAAAAAAAATTTGTAGGGTAGGACACCCACGATGATAAGACAAATTTGATTGACAAAGGTTTAGAAAAAACCCAAATTTTGAGGGAAACCGGGTGGAATCACTTAAAATTTTGGGGTTAAAATACAGAAATTTTTGAGAAAAATTTATTCGTGTTTGTTTTATAGTTCCCGAATTTTAATTCGATTTTAAATTTTAGGGGAAAGTTTTTAATTTGACTACATATATAAGAGTTTAAAATTGTAAATTTATTTTTATAAATCAAACAGGGCCAAAAATAGATAAATCAGGGAACCTTTTTTAAGGGACCTTTTAAAATTTTTTTAAATTTGGGTTTTTCATGGGGCATACAAAAACCCATTTATAACCAAAAAATTAGCACTAAAAAGTTTAAAAAGGGTCCCATTTTAATCTTTTTAAGATAATTTAAAAAAATCTCCCTTAATTTTTGGGCCCTTCCCCTTCGTTTTTTATATATTTTTTAATCGTTGGGGGTCGTTTTTTTTCCATGCAATCTTTTAATTGCCTTCCATTTAATCTTCTTCCAAATTATGATTTCACTCTGTCAAAAATCCAAAAAAAAAATTGGGGTTTTTTTATACTTTAAATCTAAAACAGGTTGTCCCGAGTAGTAAAATCTGATTGTACGGGAAAAGGGAGGCGGTTTACTTCCCGGGTGAGGTTCAAAAGGGGCCCTTTGAAGGGGATTAAACCAGGCCCCGGCGGGGGGGGAGGGGGGGAGGGGAAATGGTCCAGCTTGATGACTCAGGAAGGGACGTAGGGAACCCCCGACTCCAGACACTGAGGGGTGGATTCCTTTCCCAAATGAATGGCTACCCACTTTGGGCCCCAGGGGTTTATTCCTTTTCCCCCAATTTAAAGGTTTAGTACCCAAACATTTTTAAAATTCCCCGGGTCTCTTTTGGAAAAAGTGGTAAAAATTTGCAGGGTACCCTTTTTGTACGGGCCCGGTTTAAAACCCCCAAACCAAAAATGTCGTTTTGCACCAAACTTTGGGCCTTGTGTGTCCCCAAAAAGCAGTATAATAAAAACCCGGCTTAGTTTTGTCCCCCCTAAAGTGGGGCTACAAGTGTAAAAAACGAGGGGTCAAAAGTTTGTAAACTCATGGTCCTCCAGCCCCTCTTTTTGGTTTGAAAAAAGAAAACCCCCGGGAAAAAGGTGGCCCTTTCCAGGTTTGGGGCGTCGCAAAAATTTGTAAATTTTTTTCACGGGGGTCTTTTGTCATTATCGGATCGTCGTAAAACACCAAAAACCCCCTCTCCATTGCAAGGTAGATTTTTTCTTGTTAAAAACGGGCATCACGCGAGGCCCCTTGCACTGCAAACCAAAAGAAAAAAATTTTTTTCATAAAAGATAACTTTATAATTTGAAAATTTTAAAAAAAAATCTAAAAAATTGGTTTCCCTAGAAAATAATTTTTCCCCAAAAAAGAGCGATGCATCTCCCCCGTTTTTTTTTTTATATTTTTCTTTATCGTAGATCTGCATCCTGGATCGCCCAATGTGGATGGATGTGTGGGTTTTTGGTGTAGAGCAGGGCCCCCGGCCCGACCTCAGGTTTTTTTGCTGATGGGAAAAAGGGGTAGGTGTGGAGGGGGGGGGAGGGGGGGTGTTGTAAAAAATGCCCCCCTTTTCCCCGACATTTCTTTTATCATTTGGGCGTTAGTTTCCGAAGGGAAGATTGTTTCCCCTTCCAACCCCAATTGTTTCCCCAATTTTTATGATTTTGTAACTGCCTCCTTTTTCCAAAAGTTTCCAGGGTTTTTTTTACTTCAACAGCGCAAGTTCCGTCGAGTTTTAAAAATTTTGTCTTCGTCCCCTTTCTGGGTTTAAATTTTTTGATTTTCCCGGTACTTTACGGAAGTCCCGTTTAGCCCTTCCCTTTACCGCTTTTGGGGGGCTCCCGGGTCACTGAAAATCACATTTAAAATTTTTCCCCCTAAAACAAGGAAACTTGTTTAAAAAATTTAAAAAGCTCATGACCTTTATCCACCAATGCTTTTTGGGGTTCCCCAAACAAAGGGTTTCACCCAGCCTGGATCTCCCGGGTTTTGAAAAAGGGAAAAGCAAGAGGGACAGGACACGTTGTTTCCGTAAGCAGAGGGTCCAGGTTTGCAAGATAAGATAAGGAAAGCGACAGCCTCAGAGTCCAGAGAAGAACAGCGTATCGAATCATGTCTGAAAGTGAGTGATACCCGCAGATACAATTCAGAAGAATTGGAATACGGATTTCCATCACTAGGTCACTTATCATGCATTAGCAGCGGATTTAGAGTTCAATACGAAAGAGAAGTTAGAATGAAAATGTCTCAAAATAACTTAACTCCAACTAATTTTGAGTCAAATGAGAGGGAAACATTTGAAACCTAGCTCTGTCCCTAAAATTAACATGCTCCTAAATTGTTTGGACACATACCATCCCATTCCTATAATGGAACATAACATGCATATCATGTGACCAATAATAAGTATAACAATACGGTGGAGCGGCGACAGCTTTAAACAATATCAACCAAATCCATCCTTCTTGATACGTCAATATAGTTATTTATCGTTTTTTTTGTGGGTTTTTAATTTTTAAAACCTTTGTTCGGTTTGATGAAAAAAACTCAATAGGGATTTAATTAAATTAAAAGGAAAAAAATCTCGAGGTTTACGGGAAAAAAAACCCGGGATTATTAAAAACGTTTCAAAATTTTCTCTATTTATCTTTATTTTAACCTATTTTTTTCTCTTTTTATTTTTTTTTACCCCCCAAAACGTCATCACTCTGCCACCCAAAAAATATAATTTAAAAAAATTATTGAAAAAATTATTATTTTTAAATTTTTAAAATTTAAAATTTTTCAGAGGTCGGAGGGTTTTAAAATTTTTGAGTGTAAAATTTTTTTGATATTTTCAAAACTTAACAGTCATATAAAAAGAAACTTACATTTATCCAACTTGTATGAGGCGTAGCTGGAGCGAATTCGTTCTGAAACAATGAGTTATTTAACTTTTACCACATAGGTACACTGCACAGTCATTAATTAAAACCCCTTTTTAAAATTTTCCAAAAGATACCCCAGGGGGGAGTAATTTTCAAAAAAGGAGGGGGTAAAAAGGGGAAAATCAGTGGGGTTTCCCGGTTTGAAAAACCCCAATATGAACTTTTGTTTTTACCAGGCGTTAGTTTACGGATTTGTGCCGGGTATGAATTTAAAGTATTCATCAAAAAGGCGCGTCATAAGGGTTTTTTAAAAAGCTAAAAAAAATTTTTGTAATTTTAAAAAAAAAAATTATTTTATTCTCAGTGCAATAATTGCATCGAATTAAATATCATGTAACTAAATTTAAAATAAGTCTTATATTTAAATCACCTCAGCGTTCTCTAGATTTTCACCATGTTCGAGTATCTGTAAAAACCCTTTAAGCTCGAAAGGGAGTTTCCCCGGGTTTAGCCTGAGGAAATTTGGGGAAGTTTTTTTTAAAATGTTAATTTTACAGTTATTTGAGTAATAATTTTTGCCCGTTTAAAAAAATGATAAAGGGATTTGTAATAAGATCCCCGTTTTGGTGAAAATCAAATGAGAACATCCATGCTTTAATTGGGCGGAACCCCAAAATTTCCCAATTTGCCCAAAAAAATTTTTTTCCCCCCCTTTTTAGGCTCAGATTTTGATATTTGGGTTTTAAAAAAAATCCCCCCATGGGTTTGTAGTAAAAATTAAAGACCGATTTACGGGAAAAATTTTAAATTTTTTTCTGAACGATTTCCCTTTAAAGTATTATGGGAATCCTTTTCAGGGTGGGTCGTTGGGAAAAAAATTGTTTCCGGTTTTTAAAAAGATTGAGATGTTTTGGTTTTTTTTTTAAATAAATTCAAAATTTTTTGCGTTTTTTTAAAAGATTCCAAAAAACGAATCGGGGATAATGTGTTCCTTTTTCCCCTAACGAAATTTTTAGCGGTGTTAAAGGGCCCCCGGATAATATCAAAAGATGTTTTTAATTTAGAAAAAACGTACGCGGCCAAAAAAAGATTTGATATTTTAGGCGTTTTAAGTAGATTTAAAAAACATGGGATCCTCCAACATTTATGCCTCACTGTCGCGCTTGATTGCTCCCAGGATTCAATAATCAACAAATAACAACTTGTTAGATTTCTTTACCTCATCATTGGACATGAACTTAATTTAATAATTTTATTGCTGTTATATAAGTGTTTAAAAAGTAATTAAAATCAAGTCTTTTGTAAGAGTTTATCACAATATCTTTAAAAAACGGCCCTTTTTCCTTCCCAGGGTTTAATAGAGGTAAATTTTAAAAAGTTAAACCCGTCCCTTTTCAGGTACGAGATTAGATTTTTTTCGGTATTTTTTTGGATTCTATTGAGCCCCCCAAATTTAAAATTTTCGCCCAAAAATTTTTCCCGGGTTTTTTTTCCAAGGGTTAAAAATCCCAAAAATTTTAGATTTTTTTTAAAGATAGTTTTTTATTCTAATTTACTTCCTCTTTGGTGCGCTTTAAGTTGTATTTTTAAAGTAAAACAATTTCAAAGTTTCCCTTTTAAATTTAAAATTGTGTTTTTTACTCACTTAGTAAATTCATTTAAAATGCTGATTTTTTTTCACTTTGTGCCAAATTTAAAGTGCTATTTACTCACTTTTTAGGCTTTTAAAAAAGGTGATGTTTATAAATTAGTTTCTTCAAAATTTAAAATCCCCGAAGTTAACCCTCATTTTTATATTTTAAAAATTAAATTTTACTCACTCTATATTAAAACATTTTTCTCAAAACTAACCTTTTTTATAAAACTCCCCAAATTTATTTTCATATTTTCACAAAAAATTTTTATTTTACCCTTCCTTCCCTTTTTTCTTAAATTACCAAAAAATTTAAAAAATTATTTCTAAAAAAAAGGACCCCCCTTTCCAAAAGGAAAGTATTCGAAAAAATGTGTAGTCCCAAAATTTATGGGTTTTCAAGGACCCAAGTTTACGCCAAAACCCTAAATATCCCTTTTATACCTCCCTTTCCCTATCTAATCGGGTTCCAAATAAACAAACTAAATTAATTCAATAAAAAAAAAAAAAATTAGGGGTAAAAAAAGGTACCCGTATGTAAAAAGGTGGCGGAAAGGGTTTCACAAAAACTTTTCCCCCCGAGGAAGGGGCCCGTGTGAGAGCTTTCCCGATAGAAAAACCTGAGTAAATGTGCTAATTTAAATTTATTTTAATTTAGAAAAAAATAACTAAATTTTTTTTTGATTTTTTTGTGATTTTTATTTCCCCACGAAAATTTAAAATACTCTCGAAATTTGAGTTTTAGAGCATTATATACAATGTGATGTACTGAGCAGCTCCTCCTACATTACTAAAACTAATATTTTCACACGCAAATTGTCCAGAAGTATCCTCACGGGGGGGGGGGGGGGGAGGGGGGGGCATCCTCACCTTAGCACGTTCCCGCAACTTGCTCGACTCCTCTGGGTATCTGCTGGTAGCGTGAGCTATAAGCAGGAAAGTTCTAGCTTGTCCAGGACACTGTTTAACACTCTCCTTAGCTGCTATCACTGCTTCCTTGTGTCGCTCAAATCTTAGTAGCGCCATCACCATACCTGCAGGATAAGAGGGGTTAAGAGGGATTTGGTCACTGTACCCCTCTCTGATTACGAGGAAGTTGGTCACTGTACCCCTCTCTGATTACGAGGAAGTTGGTCACTGTACCTCTCTCTGATTACGAGGAAGTTGGTCACTGTACCCCTCCCTGATTGTGAGGGAGTTAGTCAATGTACCCCTCCCTGATTGTGAGGGAGTTAGTCAATGTACCCCTCCCTGATTGTGAGGGAGTTAGTCAATGTACCCCTCCCTGATTGTGAGGGAGTTAGTCAATGTACCCCTCCCTGATTGTGAGGGAGTTAATCAATGTACCCCTCCCTGATTGTGACGAATTTGGTCAATGTACCCCTCCCTGATTGTGACGAATTTGGTCAATGTAACCCTCTCTGATTGTGAGGGAGTTGATCAATTTACTCCTCTCTGATTGTGAGGGATTTGGTAACTGTACCCCTCTCTGATTGTGAGGGATTTGGTCACAGTACCCCTCTCTGATTATGAGGAAGTTGGTCACTTACCCCTCCCTGATTGTGAGGGAGTTAGTCAATGTACCCCTCCCTGATTGTGAGGGAGTTAGTCAATGTACCCCTCCCTGATTGTGACGAGGGGTCAATGTACCCCTCTCTGATTGTGAGGGAGTTGGTCAATGTACCCCTCTCTGATTGTGAGGGATTTGGTCACTGTACCACTCTCTGATTGTGAGGGATTTGGTCACTGTACCCCTCTCTGATTGCGAGGAAGTTGGTCACTGTACCCCTCCCTGATTGGGAGGGAGTTGGTCACTGTACCCCTCTCTGATTGCGAGGAAGTTGGTCACTGTACCCCTCTCTGATTGTGAGGGATTTGGTCACTGTACCCCTCTCTGATTGCGAGGAAGTTGGTCACTGTACCCATCCCTGATTGGGAGGGAGTTGGTCACTGTACCCCTCTCTGATTGTGAGGGATTTGGTCACTGTACCCCTCTCTGATTGCGAGGAAGTTGGTCACTGTACCCCTCCCTGATTGGGAGGGAGTTGGTCACTGTCCTTACCACTGCTCTCCTCTCCCCTACGCTACTCAATAGTCAATACTCATAGTACGGGATGTTAAAAATATATCTTTATGTTAAAGTTTATATGTGTGACGAGTCAAATGCTGAACAGTTACACAAATATTTATTATCTCCGATATAATACCACTGATATTAACAATATATAATATCATGTGCAGTGCATGTGATCAAACAGAACCACACGAAACTTTGAAATAGGTGTGGATCTCATTGTCCATCATATTTGGGAGAAGGCCACATCTAATATTCAAGAACTTGTTTATTTTGTTACGTCTCTTAATTGCTCTTACGTTTCTCAGTGTATACCACTATGTGGGAAGAAGAAGAAGCTCATTGGCTGTTGAGCACATGTTTAGTTGCCTCAGCTCATGTAATTAGTTCATTGAAATTCAGTTGTTTTACAACCGGCTCGGAGCCGGAGCCGGCTCAAAACCAGTTGTTAACCACTCCTGAACGATGACCGGTCACGGTCGATCTATCGTACGGTCTATTGTACGGTCTATTGTACGGTCGATGTACAGTCTATGTATTGACTACAGCTGATATACTACAACAATTTTACCAATTATGATTTCCATGACGATATTTAATAAGCTAACATATTACTAGCTTTGTAATGAGCCGTCTATTTGCTTGTACAGACTACTTATATAAATATCTGATTCTCTGTGTGGGTCAGAGGTCCAATCATGCAGCTAACTGGATTAAGGCAGTAATTACATAAATAACTAAATAAGTATATACATATCTAAATATCAGATCTAGTTAGTCCGTCTTATAATAGGAATTTGTTTTAGTTTACGGACTACCAATTTATAGACAGCCTTGATGAGAAATAAGGGAGTATAATACTTTAAACGTATTATCATTGCTGTAGGTCTAGCCTGTATATAGCAGTTCGCCACAGACTGCCTCCAGTATTAGTTACTGAAATCAGCTACATTTGTATTTTATAATATGTTGTTTTAACTTATTTTTTGTTGTTTAAATATTCTGTTCTATCAATATGCTAAACTAAGGTTTAGTAAGCAGCTACACAAGTATAGTATTAAGTATAGTGAAGCTAACTCGCATAAATTCCAGCAAAAGCTTGAAGGATTTCAAATTTCAAATTAAAATTCCATGAAGGGTACAGTGATGGAGTTGCCCCGAACTAAGCTCACTTTTAACACAATGGTATACACTACAGTTCAAGTCACTTAATACCCGTGCCATCACACACCACACTATATTGAATATTTGGAATACTTTTCTACCAAATCAACCAATAAGAGAGCTGTATTTAGGTCACCTGACTCAAAGTAACCAACTAGAGCCCTGGGCAGGACTTTCTTACCATGACGTTAAAGAAGCCTTTAGGAATATTTTAATTGGTTACCATCATCAAATGACGTTCATGTTAAAACTTTAGGATTACTCAAAGGGAGGGTTCACATAACCATTACTTGCCAAGATTCAATTCATCTGTTGAGTACCTACGTCCCACACTCCTACAGGGTGTCAAAAGTGTTGCAAGGATTTAATTCATTAAAATAAGAGAAGTCTATTGGAGTGAATTAGCAAATATTTCACGTCTTCTTTGGACCGTAGGTTTGAAATTCCAGTAAATTAATATAAAACTACTTGTGTGTTCAATAGAGATAACGCTCAATTTTTATTCAGTAACCAGTAAGGTATGTATTTAGCTTGTGAAGTTTCAGTACCTTTGTGATAATATTACCCCTTTACAGTATGCTTCTCGTCCCACCTGGAATACCATGATAACGAGCTAAGTAGATGCCATCGTAATGTTATATTAAATATTTACATTTATTAATATTCAGTTAACCTTATTAATATGAATATTATGCAGCGTTATTTGTACAACACGTATCTTATTATTCTTACTGTTTAATAATTTATCAATTGAGCTTAGGATTACTGATCACTCTCTTTCAATAAAAGAATTTGAGCTAGTTCCGAAAAATGCAGGATTCAAATTATCCGCTAAAAGAATACTTATTTCCGTCAATGTCCGTCAATGTCCGTCAATGTCCACCTTACCCTTTGAGGACATTAGTGAACACTGAACATGTCAACCATCCTCCCGCCCCTCGTAACATGTTTACTAATTTACAATTTATAATTGCTTAAAGTTAATGAGCTTATGATTAGTATATTAGTTATGATTAGATATGATTACTGATCACTATCTTTGTACACAAGGCTGTTTAGTGCTCAATTAATAATTCAATAATCTGGGAGAGGTACATTTCTGCACTACACTGTCCGAAAGGCTTTGAACTTACCCCGCATTTTCACATCAGTTGAATCGTTCGACTAAACTTTACTACTTCAAGATCATTACAACAACCTAGCTTATGAATGTATTCAACATTTAGGATTCTCATAAGCGGGTACGGGGGTTAAATTACCATACAAACAAAGCCCTGGATCAGACTAGACGGCCAGATCAGGAGACATTATAATACATTGAGGTCTGACATTTGGCGCCAACCCAATATAACAAATCTACAGTCAGTCATAACACAAATAAGTTGTTCTGTATTGGTCACATAACCTGACATATTCGTGAGTGCAGGTTATGGTACATGCGTCAAGGCATGTTTAACTTTTATAAATGACAAGTTTTCATTGAGGTAGCTGAGCTGATGAAAGTTAATAACCAACATACCCTGAATCAGATTTCATGTTTATTTGGTGCAACTAGTTGATACAGTTATAAACAGTTATACTAATTAACTGTTAGTTAAGACACTACTCTCAGTCTCACAATTACGTAGTTACTCATTTACTCCGCAATCATTCCAGGCAGGAAACCTAGGATCAACACATGTCTTTTAAGGAATGTTAACGCTATTTTTCGAGCAACCTCACAACTGTGTTATAGTCAAGAGAACACACGTCATCTTTTATTAGCATGTGTTTTCACTGCTCTGCTTCTCTTTATTCTCGCTCAGTAAACGGCTCATTTAATTGGTTAGTTTGAGTCACGTGACTAGAATTCAGCTCTTTAATTGGTTAGTTTTTGTCACGTGACTAGAATACAGCTGGGTGTTTGGCTCTCAAGAATTTTAGTTACTAACGTAGCTGTCAAAAAGCCAGGGCGAACCACTTACATATGTGGGAATTCACCACCGACACTTGAAAACCAACATTTACAATTTACATTCTAACTTTCTCAGTTGTAAACCTCAGCTTTATGACTAGAGTGCAGCTTTTAATTGGTCAGTTTGAGTCACGTGACTAGAATACAGCTCTCTGATTGGTTTGTTTGAGCTGCAGTTACATTCTAAGCAGTAAACCTCGACACTGATTGTGTACGTGGACTGCGGAGCAGTAATCGTTTACTTGTAAGATAGAAAATGCTCATATGTAATAAAAATTATAAAATATAACATGACATAATATGCACACGTTAATAAATAATAAACATGCTTATCAATAGCATAAAATAATAATACAGCGCTGGGTAAGTCTACACTTTACTGAGAAGGTTTAGCTAGTTCGCTTAAACTTTGTCGGGCATTTTTTTGCTTCCCCCGAGTAAGCTTTTAAACGTTGTGCAGCGCCTCACGACAAAAGGGTTTCTGTTGAATATCCCAAAATAGCCACCAGAAATAGCTGCCGCTGCAGTAAGGATAGTAAGACATCGTTTGTTTGGGTTTGTTTGGACCCTGCCGATAGTGCCGCGATATTTTGCTGAGTTGACCGCTGAATGACAACTAGGCCTAATTATTTCAGGTTCCCACACTTTGACAGGGGGTCACGTAGGTAGTCACGCGACTTGATTTGTCATGTGACAATCAGAAAAATTTCTGAACGACAACTATGTCTAATCTTTAAAACAAATCTTCGGACAAATATTTGAGAGAATTTATTTGCAGATCAACTTGTCGAACATCAAGTTTTGCCGTCAACTTGATGTGTTGTTAATATTTTAATGGCGCAGGAATGAAAGTTGGGGAAGGTTGGATTGCTAGTTGGTAGCAGAAATAGACGTTGTCACACAAACGCTCGCATTCTTTGCGGTGCACAAATGATACGAATTAGTTAATTGATTTTGCTACATTCTGCTTAAAGGGTATTTAAAATACACAATACATCCACATGTATATCAGATAACTCCATAATATGTCAAGGAAACTTAGTAACCCTACTTTAATTTCATGACGCACGGAAACAGAACGTGATATCGTTCATTTGACTATTGTACCATGTTGCACGATAATATATGCTTCCAACTGTTACGTGTTATTCTTGGCGGCATAGTCCGACAGTTAATAGGTTCGGCTGATGTTTCTTTTACTTTCTAGTTGTGTTATAGAAGGCCTTCCAAGCTTGGGAAAGATGCACTGTTTTATGTTTACTGCTTTTTAGATGTTACTTTTGTACGATTCAGTAAATTTATCAGGGGTGTAGGAATAAATTTCTTCGTGGGGGGGGGGGGCAAAATTATAGAGTTTTTAAAATGTAGTGCGCTGTGCGCCAGAATGTCAAAACAGCGACACATTCAGTGTCAACCATGCCTGCAAAAGTTTAATGTTTATGACAGGACCGCCGAGAGCAGCATCCTGAGCGACCCCCCCCCCCCCCCCCCCCCCCCCCGTTATGACGTCAGACCCCCTTGCCATCTTAACTCCTTTACTGAATACTTACCCCCTCCCGTCAGCCAGCGAGGGGGTATAGAAATGCTGACTGGTGTAGACAGTGAAAATTTGTATGCGACTGATTTAGAGTTCAGTTCACCGAAGTACTAATAAGGAAATTAGCAAAGTTTTATTGTTAATAAAATTGATTTAAACAAAAATGTTTGCCAAAATTCACGTTACATTTCTGCTGACGTCAGCAAGGCCCTCTCTTCCTACACCCCTGAAATTTATGATAAGTAAGAAATCTAACCTTTAGTTCCCAAGTGATTTGTAACAAATATAAACTTTTGCCCACAAGTGATTAATTACTCTCAGCAGGTATGTTCACAGTTAACAAGACTTCCCTCTCCGTTCCTCTACCCCTACTCTCCCTCAGCTCTACCTACATATTAATATCTTACTTAGTCGCTACTGTTATTTTAGGTAACGTTATTCTACGAAATACTGACTCGTTGTCGATTTTATCAACGGCCTAGCACATGTTGATTACAGCCTATATAAACTAAGTTAATTACATGACCTGTTGAAATCGCAACAAATCTTTTACTAAGGAACTTGTACCAAGAACGGCTCGCCCTTTTACAGAAGATCACATGATTACTAATTAATGACCTATTATTCTAATTGGGTAATCATCGGTTAATTACTCCAGGTATCGCGTGTAACTGTGCAATTCTCCACGGGTTAGTGTTCCGAGACGCCCTAAAACAGGTAATTATTATTAAATTTATTTCCGTGTTTATGATAAACATTAAAATATGCGTTTACTAATTGTTGTGGCAAGTTATTTACAGAGTAACTGTAAGCATAACTTACGCATTAGTTATTACTTATGTAAGTCATTTTCTCTTTTTTTACGTAGTCAACATGTTAACATGTATTATCAATAAGTATAAATGTATAATAAATATTGGCCATTACTGATATAAATCATAAAATCTCCTGAGTTACTGATATACTCTATTACTGATAATACTCTGACACGCAGGATAGAATCAGCAGAGTGTTGACCACAAACTTTGCAATAACAGATATCCTCATCACTCTGTCCCTGAACCTTCCTGTCCTGGTTACAGTCGTCAATAAGGGCTGGGACCTGGGGCCTGTTCTCTGCAGTTTCACTCACTACTTCTACCAGGTTATTATTACTTGCACTTTCACTTTTACTTTTACTTGCAATGACTCCTTTCTGTCAATGCTAATTGCTAATAGTACTGTCTAACTGATAACAACTATCATGTCAGGTATTAGTAATCAACAAGCTCTGGGTAATGGTCATAGTATCAGCGTACCGTGTTTGGATGGTCAGACAACCCGCGTCCGTCCGAGAAATCATCGAAAAGAAACCGTGGGTGAAGATATGTGGTGGAGTAGCTGCTGGATCTGGTGTGGTGGTGGTCATCTTGGAGGGGGTCAGTGCTCGAAACAACGTCTTCTTTGATCCCAACAGACTGTCCTGTTACGGTGGCAACTTCTACGGAGAGAGAGCACTTTACTCTCTGCTAGTCCTCACTCCCTTTTACCTGGCCCCCATTGTCATGACACTGGAACTACTCCTCCAGCTACTCATTATTATTACTGTTCAGGCCAGGGCCGCCAGAATCAGGGACTGCCAACTGCTCAATGAGAAGCAGGGTAGACGACTCTTAATAGGATCTGCGTTACGAATCCTAGTCGTGTCAGCCCACTGTCTACCTATGATTTCTATGTTTGCCGACTATGTTCACTATGGGAGGAGACGGCAGAGGGTGGTTACTGATGGGGACGGTCATGATAGTGTCCTTCAAGCTCTGGGGTGGACTTTCGTTCTGTTACCCTTAAACTGCACCAGCCCTCTTATATACCTTACTGTAAATCAACAGTTCAGAGACTATATCAGTGATATTTCTGAGGAGACGGTCGGCTGGGTTCACGAGGTTATGGGTAGAGTGACACGAAACAGAGACTTTCACTTTCACTTTCCCTTTCACAGACTTAACTCTGCCAATGCTAGTGCGAGTGATGATTTACAGCCAGATTGTGCTGATGTCGCGAAATTATGATATTTACAAATTTCAGTGGGTATTTGCATTTACTAGGTTATTTAGTTCATTTTATTGCATTTAACCGAATTTATTACTTCAATTTTCATCATATCGATTTCAATTAGTTATAACTAATAAATACTTAATTTATCGCTGCCAAATCCTCAAAGTCAATACCTGATTGCGATTTTATTTGTTGTTAATGCAAAACTTCATGTGTAACTAGTATTTGAGAATACTAACAGTATACTTATTGATCCCAGTAGCACCAAATACTCTCCAGCAACATTCTTTTGTTCTTTTGTCATGTTCCAGGTCAGATGGTATTAGAAACACTATGTCCGCATGATGCTTCCTCTCCTATCCAGTATGAAATCTCCTTGAAGTTGGCGTACGGAAGTATTACCGTCAGGAATTTAAGCTCCTCGTTAACCCTCAATCACGGTCGACGGCTGCTTAGATTCAATAGAGTCCTCGGTTCATCCAGGGATTGAGGGCATATGACGGGGACCTGCAACCCAACAATTACACGAAATTTAATACAGCTACCCATAACTCACAGGACCCCCCCGCAATTGACTACTGTAAACGGTGAAGTGACGAGGCTTTATTTAGCCTTATATAAAGCGTACAAATTCAAGTAATTATGTGCCAGGATGGCCGAGTGGTCTAAGGCGCCAGAGTGGCTGTATGACTATGTCTACGAACGAGCATTCTGGTCCACGCATGTGGGCGTGGGTTCAAATCCCACTCCTGGGCCCTGGCACACAAAACAGATGCGGCCCAAAAGATACCAATACAATCGCTCGCTCACCATGGGTCACCTATATTCCACCATAATCCTCAATCAAGTTACCCGATGATTCGACTGTGGGGGCTGCTTAGATTGAGTCCTTCGTTCACCTCTTGGTGGCACATGACATGAATTGAAACTACAACCCACTTACTACAAAGTGTACAAGCTACCACTACACCACCAGCACCAACCCCCTACTTCTAAAAGATCGATGGTCCGTAAACTTAAACGCAGTGTTTGATGATAATATTGCAATGTTGTTAAACGCACTGGTACTGCCACTTTACATTTGTTATATAATAGCATGATGTCCTTATATATTATAATATTACCGCTACATGAAATGCAATACAGCTACTCATAACTCACATGACCAGTGACCGTATGGTTGCTACGGAGAAGTGACGAGGCTTTATTTAGCGTTATATAAAGAGTAAGAATTCATATAATAGTATGTCAGGATGGCCGAGTGGTCTAAGGCGCCAGACTCAAGAGTAATCTTGCATTCGTACGAATGAGCATTCTGGTCCACGAATGTGGGCGTGGGTTCAAATCCCACTTCTGACACTTTTGCTTGTTAAGCAGTCGCGACCCAAAAAATAACAATACAATCGCTCGGTCACCGTAGGTCACCTAAATTCCACCCTGATCCTCAATCAATGCTACCCGAAGATTCGACTGAGTCGACTGTGGGGGCTGCTTGGATTCAATTAGTTCACTCCTTAATGGCACATTACAGGAATCGAACCTGCAACCTCACGACTACAAAGTGTATAAGCTACCACTACGCCACCAACCCCCTACCTCGATATTTCGTTAAATTAAACGCCGCCTGCTTTTTTAAAAAGCCATGTTATTAGTAGTTTTCATGTAAGCATTTTGCAATGTTGTGAAACGTGCTGGTAATGCCATTTTACGTTTGTTATATAATAGCATGATGTTATTATATTAAAACATTATTGCAACGTGAAAAACAATACAGCTACTCATAACTCGACCCCTCACATGACCAGTGACCGTATGGTTGTTACGGTGAAGTGACGAGGCTTTATTTAGCTTTATATAAAGAGTAAGAATTCATATAATAGTATGTCAGGATGGCCGAGTGGTCTAAGGCGCCAGACTCAAGAGTAATCTTGCATTCGTACGAATGAGCATTCTGGTCCACGAATGTGGGCGTGGGTTCAAATCCCACTTCTGACACTTTTGCTTGTTAAGCAAGTGCGACCCAAAAGATACCAATACAATCGCTCGGTCACAGTAGGTCACCTAAATTCCACCCTGATCCTCAATCAAGTTACCCGATGATTCGACTGAGTCGACTTTGGGGGCTGCTTAGATTCAATCAGTTCACCCCCTGATGGCACATCACACATGACAGGAATCGAAGCTACCACTCACCATCAATCCCTTGAAAAATAATCTGTGGTACTGGTCGGTAAACACTGAACACTGACCTTTGTGAGCCTCGAAACAGTTGGACTTCATGCTGAGAATGCTCCTGAAAGTAATCATCGCTGATGTGGTCTTGTTGCTGAGCATCTCACTGCAGCCTCGCGCTATTAGTGATGGTATGTAGCGCGGCGCAATGTGACAAGCACGTTCTGATAACGTCGTTGCACGAGTAAAGTCCTCCTGGAAACATTTGGAGTTAGAAAATAGAGTTCATTATATCATTCATCATAAAGATTATAGAGTCATTGTTAACTGAAATGTGTAAGTTTCAACAGCATTTTCATGCTAAATCTACTAAATTTGTCAAACATAACGAACCTTCATCAGCGCCAAGTAACAATGAGCAATGTAACTCTCAACTTGATTATCTTCTGACAAATGCTCGCAAAATTTCTCCAATTCTTGTTCGCTGTCAAGTTGCGCTAGAAGACTCGCATACGTGCCCGCGTAAGTTGTAAGGTTTGGTTCTAGGCTGTATGCTTCTTCGAATGTTGACACTGCTTTTTTATATGCTCCTGTGAATTTGGTGATAAGAAGGTAGCGTTACGAGAGTTTCACCAGCTCTATGATAATTAAATACTATGATGGAACCGAACTTGTAAAACAAAAAAATTTACTAGAAACCCCTCCACTTTCTGAAACATAACCGTTCTTACCAATAGAATTGTAAGATATGGCTATTCTGACGAGCACGTGTGCACTTGGTCCATTGACACTAAGCAAGCGCTGATATCTGGCAATAGCACGAGGGTGCTCGTTGCGAACACTGTACGAGCAGCCCTCAATCCAGTCAACTAGCCAGTCAAACCTGCCTGCCATCGTCTCGGAGGTTAAACTGAGGGGGAGTTGTATTACAGTCTTATTTATTAAATACTCGTTACTCTTGGAACTATACAGTGCAAACATGTCTAAAAAAATTGTAGGAATCAGCCCTGAGCCCTGTGCTGGTTCTTTTCTTAATTTTAGAATCATCGAAGAATACCTGATTATTTCTTTAGTTATTTGCCCAAGCTCCATCAATGATTCGATAGCTTCCAAAGCAAGCGGATGAGTTTTTAGCACTTCTTTGTAGCAGGCAACTGCTGATCTTTCCACGCCTGGGAGGATGTAACAAATAACAATTACATCAACTATCAAGTCAGGTAACATATTCGGTATTTAACAATTCGTGTGCAACTCAAAAGGTACTAGGTATAAAGGACACTCATCGTGTGAATAACAGTTACCCAGAGTACACACTCAGAGCAGTGGCGTAACGTTGCCTGTTGGGCCCTTCGTTACGCCACTGACTCAGAGGACAGCTAAACACAATTAAAATGCAAGAAACAGTAAGAACTGTTTTAGTGTCTACCGGTCTGTTTGTAAAGATTTCCAAGAGCCATGTAATAACGAACAGTCCTCGATTTCGGTCCGATACACTCTAGAGCGTACAGTGCGTTCTCGTAGTCACACAGTGAATGGTAGCACTGATACATCAGCCATCTGGAGGGTTTTCAATTACTATTTATATTCAGAAGTGTAATGCTGAAAACATTCATATCTAATATTCATATCTAGTATTTTATTTTGGTTGAATTGATATTTGTTTTGACTTTATTCCCGCGCGCGGCATGACTGTAACTTGCGCGAAATTAACTTTACTTTGTCCATAGTTGTGTCGGTTGGTATTAGCGTTCCCTGGATAAATTTGGACTTTTGGCACAATTAGAAAATCCAAACATGCAGACTCAACGCTGTCCGTGGCGCATTTTTTAGAGGAGAAATCAGTAGACTTCATCCTGGAACATAATTTAGACACAACAAGATCAGCGAACTGGACGCCTCCTCTCCCTATTAAAGTAGAAAGGTAAAATTTTACAAATTAGATATTCACAAGGATAGTAAACCTACCTACCTACTGAACCTATTAATGAACCACAGTAAGTTGAACAAATTCTAGTGACTTTTTATTTATACCTTGAAAATTGCAATTTATAGATTTGTGGAACAATAACTAAAATAGACTAAAAAAACAAATCATTCGCTACGAGAACTAGTAATATGGGGGTTTTTCGGTTTTCTAAAAGTATTCTTGAATCCCGAATTCTAATTTTAAGCCCAGAGCAAATTACGCAATCATGAGGTATTTAATAATTTGGAAACTTTGGACAAAATTGGTCCAAATCCTTAGCATAACTTAGTAAAGTGTGAATTCTACGTTTATCCTGTTTGTGTATCTAAGTCGTGCGTTATTGAGTCTTATTTGATGATTATTTCAAGAAAATTTCTGATTTTTCTGAATAGACTCAGTGATGAGAATGTTCTAATAAAGGTGAATAGATAAATAGATAATTCACGTACCTATCGACATATCTACATTATACTCATTGTTTGGTTGCATGTACTTTCTGTAGAGCGGTTGTTATAGTTAAAACGGTGGCCAATTTTCCGACAGAATATCCAGTTACATTACATCTCTTACAGTATTTCTGGTAAACCAAGCTACTCAATGTTAACTTCGTGAAGGAAATCCGATAATAGATAAATCTTTTTCTTTGTACTCTGAATAAACGCTTGGTTTTGCTACCACGATAACTTTGTAGCACTTCAGTTTTGAAAACTTTCTTTCTCACTATTAGTATACCCAAAACCTGGCAAATATACCAAACAATGACGTCAGCTAACTCTACTACTATACTACCACCGGTCACTGGATATTAGGAAGACTTCTTCGAATATTTGTCCCCCATAAATCTGACCCTTGCAGTTTACATCATCATCCAGAACTCAATGATAATCTATCATTACTGGAAAGACTGGAAAAGACTGTCCTCCCTCATATTCATTCTCGTCGCTGCTGCCGACATTGGAAGTGCTTGTTCAGCAATAGTCCGGGGATCAATAGCACTACTGTGCTTGAACAATGAACAACTGCCGTTGCCATCATGGTTGTACGTGACAAACACTTTGTAACCTGTGCTTCGTCACCTTCACATTCCTCGTATTGGTTTTGACGATTGTTAAAACGATCAATATAATAAATCCATTCTACAGGATCCAAGAAAGGGCTTTGAAGTTCTGCCTTGCTTTATTTCTATCTTTAGGCCTAGTTTTGAGTTTGGTCGACATGTGGTATTTGAACAGATCATATAACTCCACTTGTGTATCACGGCGTGGTATGTGGAATTTATTGAAGAATTTACGCTTGGTTGGCGAGGTCACCTTGATAGAAATCTTACTCAACTTAAATGGAATAACGTTTAGATATAAATATATAATAACAGATTTATGTTTGATTCTGCTTTCCTTTAAAATATTTTTACCTAGTATAGTTGTGCTTATTTGTATGTTTTTACAAATGTTTTACATCAAGCGTTCTCTTGGGCAAAGTGCAGACCCGCGACAAAATACTGCAAACCGAGCTAATCTCATTTTACTCTTACTTAACAGTCGCTGGTATTTTTAATTTGGGATTTACAATTTTTTTTGACTATAGCAAGTTCATTTTACCACTGATTAACGCAGCACTGTTCCCAACCATACTGATCCTCGGATCCTCCGTAATCCGGAGCTGAGAGCAACTTACAGAGGTTACATATCCACAGTTGTACATCTGCCAGTCACGGTGTTCTGTAACATTCGTCACAGAGTCAGTGGGTACACAGACATTTAGTACAAAAACTATCGAGGATAAAGGAGTGCACAGACATTTACTACAAAAAACTATCCAAAGAGTAATCCGTATGGAAACGAACTTTTGTCAAACATAAAAAATAAGGGAAAAAAGAGTGATGTATTTTAGATTTTGTGAAAGATAAAATGACAAAAAAAGACAAAATAAAAGACAAAATAACAAAAATTAATGTTTTAAAAGTTTCATAAACATGAGATAAATCTGTGATTATATGTTAAAAGGATGAAAATTGTAATGCTTTGCGTGTTTGATAGTGTTAAACTCTGATTGATTTAGAAATTTTTCAGATAGGAAGAAAATAACGGATTATTCTAGTACAGAAATTTTAAAAAAGACAAAATAACAAAATACCGAAAAATCATTTTATAAAAGTTTCATGAATGTGAGATTAATCTGTGATCGATTATTAAAAAAATAATTTGCTAACCTTTCTATAAGATTGTAAGATTATGAGATGATTTCATTAATTTGCTTAAGGCTCTATTCACTATTAAATTTATTACTTTGATAATAATATAATAATTAATATAAAATTAATTACTGAAAAATTGTGTTTTAATTTATTCAGTATAACGAAAAATATCCTAAAACTAACACTAAAAACATGGTATTATTATTTAAGATTTGCTTTGTTGTGATAAAACTGCTACAAGATAAACTCGTTAATTCAAATGGCTACTATATGTAATGTATACCAGACTTTCTTCGCCCGAGGGTCCGTTTAAATTCCTTATTAACCCTCAATCACAGTTGATGGCTGCTAAGATTCAATGGAGTGCTAAGTTCACACAAGGATTGAGGGTATATGATGGGATCGAACCTGCAACTCAACAATTACAAAGTGTACAAGCTACCACTACACCACCAATCATCCTTCCTCTAAAAACTCAATGGTTGGTGAAATTAAACGACGTCTGCTTTTAAAACAAACCATGTTTGATGACAATTCTGCAATGTTGTTAAACGCGCTGCTACTGCCACTTTACGTTTGTTATGTAATAGCATGATGTTTTAAATATAATATAATAATATTACCGCTACATGAAAAACAATACAGCTACTCATAACTCGACCCCTCACATGACCAGTGCAGTGACCGTATGGTTGTTACGGTGAAATGACGAGGCTTTATTTAGCGTTATACAAAGATTAAGAATTTATGTAATAATATGTCAGGATGGCCGAGTGGTCTAAGGCGCCAGACTCAAGAGTAATCTTGCATTCGTACGAATGAGCATTCTGGTCCACGAATGTGGGCGTGGGTTCAAATCCCACTTCTGACACTTTTGCTTGTTAAGCAGTCGCGACCCAAAAAATAACAATACAATCGCTCGGTCACAGTGGGTCACCTAAATTTCACCCTGATCCTCAATCAAGTTACCCGAAGATTCGACTCAGCCGACTGTGGGGGCTGCTTAGATTCAATTAGTTCACTCCTTAATGGCACATGACAGGAATCGAACCTGCAACCTCACGACTACAAAGTGTACCAGCTACCACTACACCACCAACCCCCTACCTCGAAGTTACGTTAAATTAAACGCCGTCAAAAACGCAGTTTTCAAAACAAGCCATGTTATTGGTATTTTTCAGATAAAAATTTTGCAATGTTGTCAAACGCACTGGTACTGCCACTTTACGTTTGTTATATATAATAGCATGATGTTCTTATATTAAAACATTATCGCAAAGTGAAATACAATACAGCTACTCATAACTCACATGACCAGTGACCGTATGGTTGTTACGGTGAAGTGACGAGGCTTTATTTAGCGTTATATAAAGAGTAAGAATTAATATAATAGTATGTCAAGATGGCCGAGTGGTCTAAGGCGCCAGACTCAAGAGTAATCTTGCATTCGTACGAATGAGCATTCTGGTCCACGAATGTGGGCGTGGGTTCAAATCCCACTTCTGACACTTTTGATGTGCTACCTGGAACCCCCTACCTGGAACCCCCCTACCTGGAACCCCCCTACCTTGAACCCCCCCTATACTACCTGGAACCCCTCTACCTGGAACCCCCCCTACCTAGAACCCCCCTATACTACCTCGATCCCCACTTTAGACTTAAAGCATGTGAAAACAATCCAGAAATAATTAAAAGAGTTTCAAACCTAATATCACACTCTGTAATAGTGAGCTGCTGATTCTGTTTCTCTTTATCGAATAGTAACAATGCTTGCTGCAGCTTCTCCTGGATCAAGGCATTACGTTTATATCATTTGGGAGTTTTACTCAAATTGTTATTACAAATAAGAGAATCTTCCATGGCATTTATACAATTTTATCATTTTCATTGATTTTCAATCAGTTTGTGTTGCAGAAAAAATTGTAAATTTCTGATAATTTAAAACAGTAACATACCACAGCCTGTGTGTACAGTTTCATTTGCTGGAAAGCAGCCGCTAAATAGAAGAGACTTGTAACAGAGGTGACCTGCTTTTGTGGCAACACGCTACCTGTAAAAGATGTGCTGTGAAATTAAATTAATTGAAGTAGCTGAGTGGACATTTACAAAACTATCGTGTAAAATCAGGCGTGTCTCAATATAATTTTGTTGGCTACAATCTTGATTAAACTAACATAAAAAATCAATTAATTTAATTAAATTAATTAAATTATCAGGCGATTAAGTTGTTATAAAATAAAACACATATTTCACAGTTACTTGAGCTCTGAAAATGCACTTGAATGTGGCACAGAAATGGAGCTACAATAAGATAAGAATAGTATTCTCGTACGTAATGTACTGCTCACATGATGTATAAATAAGTCACATGATTTGTAAATAAGTCACATAATTCACTGTGACAACTAAAGATAGTTACCCAAAAGTTCGGCGCTTCTATAAAGTCCTGCTTCATACAAGCTTTGTACGTGATCTCTGTTTGCCTTGACGCACAACATTGGCATCAGCTATAATCGTGACATGGTTATAATTATATTTAGTTATATAATTATAGTTAGTGATATATTATAGCAGGATTGTGATTGAGCATGTTTAACATATGATCAAATATGTATCAATATTCAATACGATGAAATATTATATCATGTCGATATCAATATCATTCAAAACAACAGTGTAGCTGAAGATAAATCTGCCAAATTTTGTCGATCAACTGACTTTTTCTTGAAGTAAAGCTCAGACAAAATTCATTGTTGAAATGATAAACGTTTAGTTGGAATATATAGTATGCAGGGAGGTATACAGTAAACACCGATCAGTCATTAATCATATCGACATGTCCGGGACAGTTGGTTCTGCTGATGTTGGTAAATACTACATTTAATCCATTTATTTTTGTTTGCTAATATCATGACTTTATGGTTGTTGGAGTATATAATGCAGATGAAATCAATTGTGTAGTCTTAATAACATTATCCAAAACAACAATGACCCGATATCGGTGACTGCACTATCTGCGTTGTGAGTCAATGTCATCTCATCCATGTCTATAAATTAATAAATTTTAAATTTGTACCACGTCTCGACAATTAAAAAATGCCCTTAAAAAGATACATTGAAGCGTGTCTCTTAAAAGTTTCTCTCATTAGAGTCTCTACCAGCTACCTACATATTGCAGTCGTTTCAAACTCTCGTACTAGAAAAACCACTTAGGTGATCAAAGTTATGTTTGTTTCTTTGTTGTCAGACTAAGGAACTGTGACGTCACAGAGCTCTTTCAGCAGTTGGCTATGCCAACGCCCAACAGTTTTTTTATGTTGCAGTGGAGCTATCCTTCGTATTGGTGCTACTAATACCAGTCAGTGATCTCGAAACGAATATAAAAAGCTTTTTCTGCAAAATGTCAGGCCCACCGGTCACCAAACCACAATGACTTGATTTCAGTGTCTTATGCATTTGTTTTTATTTTATAACGTATATGGTAGATATGGATGCAAAGATATCAAAAATATGACACCTGCGCTATCCTATTCAATAAACGACTTACCAAACACCTTAGCTTGAAAAACTCCTCCCCCCCCCCCCCCCCCCCCTTCTACACTTTCTAGTATTTAAGCAGAAAGCTTTCTACAAATTTTATTATAGCTCATCTCCTGACAGTATGTTTAGGATCTCTATCTTTGCGATAGTTCTGTGGTTACCAGTCGAATCACAGCAACAAGCTGATCTGATTGTGCCCCGGAATTTCTCAGATGTGTTTGTCAAACTCGGTTCGTCTACATACATGTTCTCCACTGGCATACAAGTGGGGAATTGTTACGATGTAGCAAATTTTCTACTGAAATCAAATCTCTCTCATCACAATTGGAAGAATCTAGGCGAAGACTTCCAGAAGAATAGTAATGAAAAGGGTAAAGAAAAGGGTAATGATTTATGCAAATTCCATTATGATAACGCCAACTTCGTTACCCTAATAGATCCATCTGGAACAACAGCCAGCAACTTTAACACCTCCATCTCCTGGTATTGTGATGTTGAAAACTACTACAAATGTGATGGTAACTCAGATTGTCTGACAGATGAATGTAATTGTGCGGACCAGTCTGATGTGTTCTTTTGTAAAGGTGGTGGTGGTTGTATAACCTTCAACCGGGTCTGTGATGATGTTAGAGACTGCCCTGATGGTTTAGATGAACTGTTGTGCGAGGGCATTCTTGAGATGTCTTGTCCACATATTTCAGATGACACTATTTTGCTCTCTGAGTATAACTTCTGTGATTTTATGTACATGAGCCTTGATTTTACTAACTGTAACATTTCAAGGAAAATTAACTGCAGTCAGGTCTTCGAATCAAGAATTCAGCTTAATTATTCACCCCTTTATGTGTGTTTAAGAAAGGTCTATATCACTCACCTTGAGACTTTTAGGAGCGATATTAAGGCAGTTTCGAATTATTGTAAACAAAATTGTAGCCATGTGGAGAATTTCGATGATGTGTGGAAGAATTATTGTGATAATCTACACGATGGTAGCTACAGAATTGACAGACTTGACTTTGTGTACTATTGTGAGTTAGAACCTGTCCTCTCAGACGGACATCACATTACAGCTCTGTGTGATGAAAAGATAGACTGTGAAAATGGGGCAGACGAACTGGGATGTCCAGGACGGTTCTATTGTTCACCGAATAGTACCACCGAATGGGTGTCTCCTGGGAAGATATGTGATAACATCATGGATTGTTCAAACGGTAAGGATGAGTGTCAGAAATGTAACAATGGAACTATATCCTCCTCAAGGTTTCTGATCGATTCCAGGCCAGTGCTTGTGCTAACTGGTTTAGCTGGTATCACCATGATTATACTTAACGCTGTGGTTGGATTCAAATGCTATCGAAAAACTCCAACAACTCATGCAGGAAAAATTGACAGAATATTGTGTTTACAAGTGTTCTTCTTTGATGGTCTCATGGGTCTGTACAATTGTTCCCTGGCATTGGCATCCAACGTGTTGGCCAGAAAAGGGGACTACTGTTTGGTTGACCAAGCCTGGAGGTCAAGTGCGTCTTGTTCAATTCTTGGAATTATATTTTTTGTAGCATCTCATGGATCTCTCCTAGCAATCGCATTTATCAGCATTGTAAGATGCCTCATCTGTACAAGGACAATTCTGGTAGCGAAAAAGTCAGTGGTGATGGTTGTATCTGGGCTTTTAATCAGTTTTAATATCATTAACTCCATTGTCCCTGTTCTACCAGTGGAACATCTCCAGGAGATATTCCGCACTGACGTCTTCTACACAAACATTGACAACAACCCCTTCATAAACACAAACCAACTAAACAGAACCCAGCTAGATGAACTCCACTCTCGTTACTTTACAACCGGTGGTGATCTTTATTCCAACATCAAGAACCTCAACACTATTACATCCAACAACAAGTTATTTGACATAACTGAGATTGGGTACTATGGTAATACCGAGATGTGCATCCACAATGTCTTTAAAACACAGGATTCTTATTTTATCTACAAGATGGTTTACTGCACTTTTATTTTGATCCTCCTGCTAATCTTAACAGGGACTTACGTGAAGATATTACTAGAGAAGATAGCATCCTCCAGAAGAGTAGAAGAAGCAGGAGGTAATAATAATATTGTGGTGGATCAGGCAATTTCGACGCTGGGTGTCAAGATATTCCTGATGATAGGGTCTCAACTCTGTAGCTGGATATCCTTTATTGGTGTCACAATTTACTTTCAAATTACTTCTGTTAGCCCTGCTCCGTTGACTTTTGAGATCTTTGCTTTGCTGGTGATCCCTGTGAATAGTCTTTTGAATCCTATTTTCTATAGTGATCTCTATAGGCAGTTTGCTACTGTTCTGTGGAGTTGGTGGCGCTATGTGGTGTCTAAAACTGGATTTTCTCCTGAGTAAAACATTTGATCATTATTACAGATAGAGGTACTTGCACTTGCCACACATTGAATAATAATTAGGATTTCAGAAACTGAAATCAGCATGCATTAGAAAACGATTGAAAATAATACAAATTTTAATTTCTGTATGAAATCAAACCTATGATTTATCTGTGTTCGATTTATTGTTGTTTGATTTAATATTACTGTACTTGATTTAACATAAAATAGCATATATACATTGTGTAATGGTATATACTATTTAGAAGAAATGAGTTTAATGTAACTCTCCTCACATCCGTAAATGGAGTTTTCTTTGTATCATATATAAATTGTGTAACATGGAATTGAAGTAATGATTGATTAATTAACATTGTGTAATTCGATATAAAATGATTTGACCTTATGTGATTTAACAATGTTGTTTGATTTAACATCAAGTGATTTATTTGCAATGACATTGAAAGATTGACGATGCTTGATTTAACATTTCACCTCGATTCTGCATGATCTGATTTACTTAAGTTTATCCATCAGAAACAGAATGCTCCAACACAAATTTAAAATGCTCCAACACAAATTTAAATTTAGTTTTCCTTAAATGATGAAACAAGACCAATTTCAGCAGATCAAAGCATCTCTATTACTATCTCTAAATTATTTACTATTTTTATTGTAATATTGCTATGTAAATTTGATTCTAATTCTAATTATAATTCATGGTGTGCTTTAATGAGTTCAATAAAGATGGCACAAGACACCATTGGGGTACTGGAATTTAGATATAACCAAAGAAAGCTTTGATAAAAGGAAAATTATCAGAATAGAAGGAGAAAATGTAGAAGAATCTTAAATAGAAGCTTTTTTCCGTTTCCTTGACCAAAGTTTCACAGTTTTGACTTCATTTTTACCAGTGACCAATCAGTAAGGTCCATGTGAATGACACAAGCCACTATCGAAGTATTGGAAGCTCAATGTCCTGAGAAATCTTCGATGCAAAATGAAAATTATGAAAATTTCCTACCGGTAGGACATTTCGGATTTCAGCTTTCCATGACCACAACTTCATTGGTGAAGAAATGGTAACAATATCGATAGTTAGAAGCACACAGTTTGGAGTATACCAGCTCTTCGTGAAAAGTGTGGGTGAATTATATGAGCTAGAGAGAGACAATACAATGCACGGGTTATGTGGTTTTTTAATCTGATACAAATGAGGATGGGACGGAGAATGTAGCTGAGGAAGATGGGGAGGAAAATCTGTCAACAAATTGCCGAGTAACCACATTTGGGGGGGGGGGGGGGGCAACCATATTAAAGTATATTAAAATGTAGGATTTTTCCCGATTTTGACCCGGGGATATACTTTAATATACTTTAATATACCTATAATATACTTTAATATATCCCTATCTTCTTGGAAGCCTACATCAAAAATTGTTGCCCAAAATAAGCTTGAAAAGCAATTCTTAATCGATTCCAAAAAGTTCTTGAAAAAAATATTGAAAACTGATGGAGTTATTTCAATTTTAATGAAGTCATTTTGGCTAGTATTCCGAACCGAGATATTATGTGCAATTTTCCCAATTTTGTTCATGGAGGTCTTTTTACTTAGTATCCACTATATTCAACAAACACTGAGTTATATCTTTC